TCGAAAAAGTAATAAGAGAGGTATCTGCTCTTTTATTGAAAATTCATCTGTCGATGCAGAGTCTAATTCATCATCCTGTGTTGACTGTGAATTCGGATATAGGGACGATAGTGAGCTACGATATTTTTCCCAGGCGCCTGAACTACGAGAACATATTTCATAGTAAAATGTGATTGCTTCTCTCAATTGTCCCTGCGATAAAGCAATATCACCACGTGTTAATAATATCGCATTGGAAATATCAAATGGAAGATTCCATTCTTCTATAAATCGGTCCAACTCTACAAAAAGAAAATAAAATCAACTGTTAAACATCAACTTTATAAAATATCTTAAGCGTCTTAAGCACATATATACCTTTTTCCAAAATCTGCGTTTCACCATCACCACGTTAAACTAGAGTGGCGCAGAGTTGCCAACAATTTAGTGCCCGTTCCCTGTATGACATAGCTTCTTCAATATAATCATCAGAAATATTGTATATTTCTGTAAATTTCGGAGACGTATAAAAAATCGTAATATAAAATTAACAAAATTTCCAGTTATACGATATATTTTTTTTTTTTAAAAAAAAAAACATTATTATACCTTCCCACTCTTTGATCAAATTTTGTAGGCGTTGTTCCCTTCTCATTACTGAAGGATCTTTTTCTTGTGAAGGTTCTTCGATTAATAGATTCTTAACATTCATAACGTTTCTCACGTTGTTATTCGTAGTGTCATCGTTGATTATTTCATTTTCATAGCCATCATCCGACCCCTCCGACAATAGGAAGCTTAGTTTTCGTTTTTTACTTAGTCTTTGGTCAACAGAAAAATACCGAATGTAAGATTCTGACTTCTTTGACGGCCCGGGAACATAAACAGGTGTAAGGCATGTTCGTTGTTTACCTTGAAAAGAGAAACGTTTAAGTAAGACGAAACCAATGTATATGTACCAAGGGTAATATAATTGATTTTTACTTTTAAAAAATGCCATCTTGAATTTTTGCATCCATTATCGATATATATTTAAGAGATGACATGATATAATTGATATAGCATGAGGTTGTTTATAACTCAACTTCTCAATTAAAAGAGGAGAAACATACCCTCAGGTGACATACTTTTTAGTCCAGCCACAAATTGGTAAAATTCGTGACAGCAATGAACAAAACATGCTATACCAATCGATAAAGCGAATGGATGCGGAGCGGTACCTAAATAAGTTAGGCTATTATTAAATGTTGTTAAACTTTCTTTGTTGAGAATTTCGAAAACTTTCGATGGCAGTTGTTTTGGATCGTCAAAAATAGCCACCAACTTTGTTTTCGGTCCACTAGAAAATACGTTAGCGTTAAGCATAAAAGAATATTTGTGACTATGATGGTCAGACAAATGGATTTCTAAAGCTTATAATCTAAAATAAAGCGAGTTATCAACCACTGCAAAAATACCTCTCAAACTTTAAGATCCCACAACTAGCCATTACAGTAAAGGAAACTTCAAACACCTTTCTCCATTCTTTGTTAGCTATATAGTAGCCTTGAGCTCTTTCAAGCCATGTTTTTAACTGGCTATAAGTTATGTTAAAATTAGTCGGATAATTTGGTTGTGGAGATGTCGAAGTTGAGATGGGAATGGGTATGTCTTTTTGGGGATTGAAGACTTTAATGTCAAGAGGGAGGCATACTTCATGTATGACTATATTTTGACGAAGTATTGGTTCCAAAATATCCTCAACTTTTATTACGTTCGTAAAAGAATTAAGTCAACTTAATAAAAATCCTCAATGCAAATCAAAAAATTAACTAAAACCAACCAAATAATCTTCTATACTTGTTGCATTCTGAAAGTGGTTTGTGTTGGGTTTCGCACTTCAATGCAAGTTGGGCAGCGTGTGCCTTTAAGAATGCCAGATTAAAATTTTAATGCTTTCAAGTATAATAAAATATATGAACATCAAATAATTACCCCATAGTAAGTGACAGTGTCTGGATATGCCTTCAATAGTAAGGCGTATAATTCACAAGCATCCAATAAATTGTCTGTATTTTCATACCACACTATAATGTCAAGTATTAACATAACAATATATCTCTTAAATAATTAAAAAGGTAAATAAAGATTACCGGCACTATTTATTATCACTTCTTTTTGAGTTCGAGCAGGAAGTCGTAAGAAAAATGCTGTAATAAAATAGAAGTTAATAATAGAAGATGATAAAGATTATATATGATTGTTTTATTCTTTATACAATTTAGTTCCAAAAAAAAATACACGATCGATTGGAACAAATAGGCGCCATCAAATTCTTGGGCTGTCCATTTAAATACATATTAATTAAAATTAACCTTGCACTTTCTCTGGTAATCAACTTTTTTTTTTTTTTTTTCTATTAATGCTGTCTTAACGTAGATGAAAATATTATCATGTTGTATATAATATGTGTTTCAACTTTTTCGT